AAAAAAAAAAAAAAAAAAAAAAAAAGAAAAAAGAAATAAAAAAGAAAAGAAAAGAAAACGAAAGAACACGGGGAAAAAAAGGAAACTAGAGAAAAAAAAAACAAAACAGAAAGCTACGTAAGAGGGAAGGCTAAATCGAAAAGGGAAAAAGAGACTCGTTGAGAGGCTACTACCGGTCGTCGAGTGAAACGAGAGGGGGCTGTCACGTTGAGAGACGCCGTGTCGCGAGAACGAGAGAAGGGGAGAAATCTCCGTGCGACGATACGAATAGCGAGTGCACGAGAAGCCGAGGTAGAGGAGCAAACGTTTCGGACAGGCTTTGTTTCGTGTTTTGCGAGCAACGAAATCGAGAAAGGAAAAAACGACGACGAGTTATAGAGCGCGAAACGAAAAGAGAGTGTGGAACGATCGTAAACGTTTGCGCATTTCCAAAAAGCAATTGAATCTTCTCCGAGCCCCAAAGCCCCCCCCCCCCTCAAATAAACGACCCCGACCCCGATTAAGATACCTAGCTTGACGAGCGAAAAACTAGCTAAAAAAAAAACCGAACCCTTTTGAACCAACCCTGTTGGATTAATGCTACTTTGTATTTTCTTTGTTTTCTCTTCTCTGTCTGTCTGTCTCACACGATCCCGTGTTCCCCGCTGTGCTCGTTCGCTCACCTGCTCACCTGCCCTCAACCAACTACGTATAAAGTACGTAGTGAAGTGTGTGATTGTCGCCATTAAAACGATTGGCAACATTATGTTGGTCACCTATCTCCTACAGTTCATGTTCGCTGTTATCGGGGTACAGCTGTTTAAGGTAAAGCCAACTACCACCACTTAGAAAATTTATGCTACATAAGTCAACAAGAGAACTTGTTTCTTTTATCTTCACTACTACGTCTATCTTCTTTTTCTTCTTCTTCATCTTTACCTTGGTTTTCTTTCTTCTTCTACTACTATTACTATAGTTTCTTCTTCTTCTTCTTCTTCTTCTCTGTCTCTTTCTTCTTTTCGTTATTCTTTGATTTTCTTCTCTCGATTTGGTTTATTCGGCCGCTGCCATCCATCGATGAGGACGGCCTCGCGTCACAGTCTTTGGGAGCTTTGAATGCCGATTGGATCCGCGCCATACCTCGGGAATGTAAATTTCCCTCGCGAAATACGGGGTACGTCGCGCTAAAAAAAAAAAAAAAGAAAGAAAGAAAAAAAAAGAAGAGAAAAGACCTTGCTCCTTTTTTCGGACCCCGAATTTCGCGAAATTACGCTGCACACTGGTCGATGGCGATGTCCACAGAGTCGAGATATTCAGACTCGAGATCCGACTAGCTTTCTTTTTCTCGGTCCTCTTTTTGTCCGACTCTACAAAGGAGAATATCGGCAACGAGAAAATCGTCGTCCGTCCAGTCGACGGATTGATTGGACGATCAAAGGGCGATTCGAACGATTCGCGCGCCTCGATTCTATGGAACCACGAGATGATTCGCTTCTGTGGGACGCGACACACGCGACGTCTTCCTCCGTGTAAATGTGCGCACCAATTGGTTGGCGTCCTCTTTGCGAGTCGATGACGCTTTTGCCGGGACCGCTCAAGCCAGGATCGTTCGTAAGCTGAGGCATGAAACTGGGACGTTAATTGATCAACCTAGTTGAGGACTTGGTCGCTGCCAATATTACCCTTTGCAGAGAAAGACTATGCGCTCGCAGTAACACCCTCGAGTACGGTAACACACACGCTCGCTGTTAACGATTTAACGCTTCGCCAAGGGAAAAAAACAAAAAAAAAAAAGTCGTTGTGCGACTTTGACGAGAACATTCGCTCGTCAGAGAGAAAGAGTTTAGTCCAACACCTCGCTCGGCGAACGCTTTAACCGAAACCGTAGCCATCGAAATAGCAAATATACGTACTTGCGATAGAAACTTTCAAGACACGCAATTTTTTAACAAAACTAGGCATGCAAGTTTCCGCTGTAAATGTGCGAATGAAGCTTTAATCGTAGTGCATGCGTAAGCTTCGTCGAACGCGTAACAGTAATTTGACTTGACTGAGTTTTTTTTTTCTTCTTTTTTTTGAAGCAAGTAAGTAAGTAACACCGGTGCCAACGAGTATATTAAAAGAACCTAGCCTCCATACGCCATCATCACCAAGCTCGATACGCTCTCCAATGTCCCAAAGAAAAAAAAAAAAAACTAGACTTCGACTATGTTTTTCTTATCGAGTTGCACTTTCTCGCCTTTGTTTGTGGTCGGTCACTCGGTTTAGACAACACTCGGTGCTTCGATACTCGAAACAGAGTATCGTAGATGGCGTATTGCGTTACCAACTTGTAAACAAACCACCGCACCGCACCGCGTCGCACCGTCTATCCAGATGCACAAAACTACCGGCGGTAGACGGTTGAGAAGCGGTCTAGAAGCGGCTTGCAACGTGACGAACGTTGAAATCTCGTGATTGGATAAGGAAACGAACGATTGCATGGAATACTCGCTCGTGTTTTCTCTCGTGTTTTCTACCGATCGCAATTCCTGTTCCTCTTGAACGTGAACGCCGAGAAACTTCTCTGGCTGACGACTGGCGTGCAATTCGACTTCTCAGAAGGATGAACCGTGACGAATGAGATTAAGAAGCTGCATTTTCCTCGGAAAAAACGAATCGTAAGGTGCAACTTGTTCGTTTTCAAAAAAACATACGATTACTTTCCATCTCTGTAGGCGATTGTAGTTCGCGCGGATGTCAAGCTTAGGGCTCGCGCGGCTCCTTTGCTTCGCGAGCGATCGCATCGAAGAGACTAGGGTTAGAAAAGCGACGGAAAAAGGGTCGCAACAGGCCAAGGAGAGTTTTATCCGCGAAAAAACCGCCGACGGAAGTACATACATACGGCCATGTAATTGGACAAGTCGCGATGCTTCGACGAGCTTTCCTCTCGCAATCAGTTTTGCTACGCAGGCGTGAAATACTACGATCGAGACGTCGATTGTGAAATTGAAATTTCAAGCTGGAAGAACCGGCGATTACGATGATTTTTCTGGACTCTCGATTTTCTACTCGCGCGCGTGCTCACACTGTACACCCTAAACGAGACAGCCTGCATCACGGCCCACTTTGTATATATATCTTACCATGTATAGACCTCGTATTATATCGTGCACGCTAAAAACGGAATGACATACGTATATATAATATATATATACACACACACACACATATATATATTTCTTCTATTTTTTTTCTAATTTTTTTTTCCACTCTGTCACATCTTGACTTTTTCTTTGTTCTTTCCTTTACTTTTTGCTCGATCACTCGCTACTGTTGACTATGCTTTGAAGAATGGCCAATTAACGATACGCTGTGTCTATGCTTTATCGACACTCTTGATATCTCGATCGACAACGAAAAGCATCTCGTTTGTTCCCTCGTTTTTTAAGAAATGTTGACAAACAAATCGATCGTAGCTACGAACGCACGAGGCATATGAAGAGTATCGATAGGTTCGACAGCACTTGAAAAGTTGCGAGAAAAAAAAACGATGCCTCCGAACGTTGGACGTTGATCTGCTTCGCATTAATGGAACTTTTATGTTGCATAGGGCAAATTTTTCTCTTGTTCCGACGCATCGAAGATGACGAAGGACGAATGCCAGTAAGTTGTCTGGTAAACCGACAGATAAGCCCAAACTTGGTGGGATATCGTTGAGTGTCGCCGCTCCCAAGTGGTTTTTTTTTTCTCCCCGAGTCCGTTCATCCGTTAATTTGAAATAGAATCTCTTTTAAATTTCCTGATAACAGGAACACTCTTTTGACAAGAGCCTGGAATGTTTTTTTTTCCAAGCAAACTTTAATTTTTCAAACAAAAACCTAACCTTAAATTTATAAGAGATTAACAGTTATTCCTGCATAACTACATTACCTTATATATTATACCTACATCTTATCGTACAAATATTTTATTGTCGAATCTTTTTTAAATTTTTTGGTAACATTTTCGCAACGATCTAGAATGTTTTTTTTTTTTTTTTTTAAACAAACTTCAACCTTCTTTCAAACTAAAATCTAACCTTAAATTGTTCAGAGATGAACAAGAGTTATACCTGCAATAGATTAAAATTTTTCGTTACAATAATTTCTCATCGCATAAACATTCCACTGTCGAATAAGAAAAAAATAGAAAGGGCTGATGGCCAAAGCGTATTGTGCACTTTTTTAATACGTGATTACTCCAATACCTCAATAGATGTCGTGTATATCCGGCGCTCGTGACGAAACGGTTAAGCAGTTACATCCGAAACGAAAGCTTGTCCCTCTTTTTTTCGACGGCGGTTTTCGCGGTTCTCGCGAAACAGGCGGCATTCACGATTTCCTGCGTGTCACATCCACGAATAACATCGGCCAATTTCAGGGGCACGTACCTCGAGTTTGATAACGGCAACATCAACAAGCCGGTAATGAAGGAAAGGACCTGGGGCCAGAATCGTTTCCATTTCGACGACGTGGCGAAAGCGATGCTCACGCTATTCACCGTGTCGACGTTCGAGGGCTGGCCGTCGTAAGTAGCCAAGTTTATCTGCCGCCTCCACTCGCACGAATACTTATTATGATGCTTTCCTCTTGTTACTTTCGTTTTTTTCAATTCTTCGAACGGGGGGACGATGGGGGGGGGGGGGGGGGGGGGGGAGTTTCAGTATATCAGCGAACAGTGTATCTAGGTTCTCGTTTTCGAATTTCCAGTCGTTCGAAAGTAGAAACAAAGTAAAGAAAAAAAAAAAAGAAAAAGAAGGAAAAAAAAAGAAAAGAAAAGAAAAGGAAAGGAAAGAGAAAGGAACAACAAGCTCGAAGAACAAGCCACGGTGCATACCGCTTAGCATTTTCTCTCCCAACAGATTACTAGACGTGTCGATCGACTCTAACAAGGAGGATCATGGACCAATTCATAATTTTCGGCCGATAGTGGCCGCGTACTACATTATTTACATCATTATCATAGCATTCTTCATGGTGAACATCTTCGTTGGTTTCGTTATTGTCACTTTCCAGAACGAGGGTGAGCAAGAGTACAAAAACTGCGAGCTCGATAAGAATCAGGTAAGTTTGGCCGAATGGCCAACGGCCATTGATCACAGAGAGGTATACATACATATCTCTCGTACACAACAACCGCATGTTTGCAAGCATCGCGGCCGGGGCACACTTGCCACTCATTTTCCACGAAGAGAGAAACCTAAATCATGCTCCTTTGTATTCTCTGTGCCTCTCGACTTGGAATTTGCTTGTAAGAAAATTATCAAAATTGGATCGAGGCGCTGGTTGCTTACGAACACGCGGTTGTGTATGTCTCGTATACATGTACAAACTTTTCACGTGATTGCATAGCGGAATTGCATCGAGTTCGCGTTAAAGGCGAAGCCAGTGCGACGATACATACCGAAGCATCGAATACAGTACAAAGTCTGGTGGTTCGTCACATCTCAGCCGTTCGAGTACACCATTTTCACTCTGATCATGATTAACACCGTGACCTTAGCGATGAAGTTTTACCGGCAGCCGGAGATCTACACGGAAGCGTTAGACGTTCTTAACATGATCTTCACTGCGGTCTTTGCCCTGGAGTTTATCTTTAAGTTGGCGGCCTTTCGATTTAAGGTAGAAAGTCAATTCGACTTCAAAAAAAAAAAAAAAAAAAAAGAAACAACGCGATTATAATGGATGTTTTTTTCTCGAGTCGAGTCGAATCAACAGACAGACGATTAATCTCCACTGTTAACGCCGACCAATTAATTGCAGAACTACTTTGGCGACGCTTGGAACGTTTTCGACTTCATTATCGTTCTTGGAAGTTTCATCGACATCGTCTATTCCGAGGTCAATGTACGTTGTTCCAACACTTTTTTTCTCGTCGCCGCGTGACACTCATTGAGTCGTTCGAACCAAGTTTGCAAACAGTTTTCGAACGAGCCGATCGAGTTCCCCTCGTTCTTCGAACGTTGACGTTGAATTTTTATGATTTTTTTTCTTTTTTTCAGCCTGGCTCCACCATCATTTCCATCAATTTCTTTCGGCTGTTCCGTGTGATGCGACTGGTGAAGTTGCTGAGCAGGGGCGAGGGCATCAGAACGCTCCTCTGGACTTTTATCAAGTCCTTCCAAGCTCTGCCATACGTAGCTCTGTTGATTATAATGCTGTTTTTTATTTATGCTGTGATAGGCATGCAGGTGAGTTGTCCCAAAGGTAATTGCACGGGATAGAATAGCTATTTTTCCGGTTATAGCAATGGTATGCCATATTTTTCTTATTTCTATTGGCGAAAGTAGAGACACCCTGTATACATGCTCGAGCGTCACGTCGTTTTCTCAGATTTTTCAACACGTGATTATGTCATGATACGTCACGTTTTACACGATTCAAAGCTAAAATTTGCATTAACATTAATAACAGTAATATTGTCGATATGTATACTTGAGAAATAACAGAGATAATAATTACCCGAGGAAGGTAAGCAATTTATTCGAGAGAAACTTGTTTGTCCAGGTATTTGGAAAGATTGCAATCGACGACGAAACGTCGATAGACCGAAACAACAATTTTCAATCTTTTCCACAAGCGGTGTTGGTTCTGTTTCGATCGGCTACAGGTACGTGCTCGTCCAAACAAATCTTCAGTCAGATAAGTAGACGGTTCTTGACACTTTTTCGGCGGGATATTTGACAATTGCCTGTAAAACATATGCATTACTTATTAGAAACTTCTGTCGTTACAGAAGTTTTACAAATAGTTGCATAATTTTATTATTTTAACACTGAAACAGTCGAACAATTTTACAAGCGTTTTCCACAAGATACAGTCGCTCTACTCAAAATTAATATTTAGACAGAATATTGATTGTACGATTGTACAAATCTATTTATTTTAATTATCATTTATACTTAATGTTTTAATTACCATTCACTCATTATTATTTTTTATTATTTTTATTATTATTTAATATATCAATGTATTGATTTATTATATGTAAAATATAATTTGATCCGGTTCTCTAGTGTTAATAGACACGTTCATTTATTTATTTATATTAACATAGTTCTTAAACCAACCAAAATCAAGTATATATAGGCACGTGATATACCCGCCGTAAAAGTGTTAAAGGCTTTGACGTTGCATTGAATCAATGAGTTACACGTTACAGGCGAAGCTTGGCAGGAAATAATGATGGACTGTTCGGCGCTGCCCGGCAAAGTGAAGTGCGATCCGAACAGCGACGAAGCAAAAAATCTAAATGGTTGCGGATCCGACATTGCATTTCCCTACTTTATATCTTTCTACGTTTTATGCTCGTTCCTCGTGAGTAACCAAACAACCTGCGGCAACGCGCAACCAGTCTCGAGCTATCGAGATTAATCATTGTAATCATTGTAAGATTTAATCACCGTAAAGTGAGGACAACAGTAATACACAAGATCTTTGATCGAGTTTTAAATATTTCTCGAACAGCGTAAAATATAGATTTATAATTATAATTACAAAGAATCATGATTATGTTACAAAGATTATATTACGATGATTATATTACGAAAAAAAAAGATGATAGAGGAAATATTAATCTGAAAAGTACGATTCATTGTACCGTATAGATGGCCCGAGACTTTTGCACGCTACTATAACTATAGTTAACCGTTTGAAAATTTACCAACTCCTTGTTATTCGTTTCCAGATCATCAATCTATTCGTCGCTGTGATCATGGACAATTTCGATTACCTGACGAGGGATTGGTCGATCCTTGGTCCTCACCATTTGGACGAGTTTATTCGTCTATGGTCCGAGTACGATCCCGATGCGAAGGGTCGTATCAAGCATCTGGACGTGGTGACTCTTCTGCGAAAGATCTCGCCGCCGTTGGGCTTCGGTAAACTCTGTCCCCATCGCGTCGCGTGTAAAGTTGGTACCTCTTCTTCGTCTTCATCTTTTCCCCGTCAGGGAACGATTACGTGTCCCGACGTTCTGCTCGAGCTGTGGTGAAATTTTTCAGAGGCTGGTCTCGATGAACATGCCGTTGAACAGCGACGGCACGGTCCTGTTCAACGCGACGTTGTTCGCCGTGGTGAGAACGTCGCTGCGAATTAAGACCGAGGGGAACATCGACGACGCAAACGCCGAGCTGAGGGCCGTGATTAAGAAAATTTGGAAGAGGACCAGCCCGAAGCTTCTGGATCAAGTGGTGCCGCCGCCTGGAGGTACGTACAGTGATTTGTTGTTTAGTTGTTCCTTTCTCTCTCTCTCTCTCTCTCCGCGTCAAATCGAATTAATCGAGCTAATTTCTCCCAGGCGACGACGAGGTAACCGTTGGCAAATTCTACGCGACCTTCTTGATCCAGGACTACTTCAGAAGATTTAAAAAGCGTAAAGAGCAAGAAATGAAGGACGGCGACAAGGAGTGTCACAACACTGTTACGCTTCAGGTAGTATTTATAGCAAATATATGTAGAGTATATATATGTAAGTACTTGTAAGTAATGAGCACGTACAAATTGAATATAGTTTATATAAACAAAGTTGAATATACTTTATATAAACTTGAATATATATAGATACAAAATTTCATTTTATTTAAGAGTTAATACAGTTTTAATCTATAATATAATAAGCACACTAAATGTCAATATATTGAACTATAATACAGGCTATGTTATAATAAATTAAATTATTGTCACTAGATGGCAATTAAATTTGAAGAAAACAACATTACTTATGAATAGTCCTAATAAGTTTATATAAACTTGAATATAGTTTATATAAATAAAGTTTATATCAAACTGATACATGACTCGAGAAAAAATTCGATACTTCGTTGAAGGCTGGTCTGAGGACTTTACACGAAGCGGGGCCCGAACTGAAGAGAGCCATTTCTGGGAACTTGGAAGAGCTCCTCGACGACAATCCGGAACCTATGCATAGGGTAATCGATACTCGTATAAATAAAGCAAATTTTGCCTACTTCGAAATTCAATCAAACTTCTTTTTTGTTTCGTTCTGCAGAGGAACCATTCGTTATTCGGCAGCGTTTGGTCGAGTATGAGAAAAGGGCACCACAGTTTCAACCGAGCCAGATCGCTCAAGGTGAATTCCACGACCCTCAAGGTAAATGTTTGGATAACTAACCGTTTTAGTACGATCGGTTCGGAATGTGTACAGTGCGAAGAACATAACTGTAACGATGACAGTGATGTAAAAATCATCTTGAAAAGAAACGAACTTACGACTAGAAATTCAAAATAGAATGATCTTCTTCTACAAAGTTGCATCAGTTTGAATTGTCGACAGTTTTCCATTTGGTACAGTTATGCTCTTCATTGTAAATATAATACTTTATATAAGCACGATTTATCTGAAAGCGGTAAAAACAGCAGAAAGCATAAAAGATGAAAACTCCCCGTTTGTTTGAATTTGCAGGCTTCCCCGACAAATTCCATAGACTTCCTGCCGTACTCGTCGCTTCAGAGAGGAAGCGGCCACGACCCGGCGAACCAAATCACCGCGAGGTCCCATCAAGTTGTGCCAAACGTAGCGGGGTTAGTTTTTTTTTTTTTTTAGATTACAATTGAAAAACAGTCGAAACACGACGAAAGAGAAGGCAATGAAATATCTTCGGGTGTAATGTTTCTAGCGGTTTAAGCGACAGCGCGATGAATCAAATGGGAATCGAGCCCAAGCTCACGGGTATCGAGGAGAACATCCCGCTGAGGCCATTGCCCGTGTTTGGAAATCCCGTCCAGCAGCAATTCTATCACCACGCCCCTTACAAAGTACTCGAGTAAGTAAATAATAATCGTTGGCTGATTGGCGGCAATTACCATCGATCGATCAGATGTAATATCTAAATACGTACGTACGTACGTATGTATGTGTATACATAATTCGCGGTTAGAGAATTGCAAGTGATATCGGGTCGCGTCGCAAAGCTGGGAAGCTGAGAGAGAAACCGACGTGATCTTCCTAGTGATGATACCGGTGAATTGTACGTTTCAGCGGTCCAGGTAGCGGTAATTATCTTCATCCGAATAGCGAATATGGTAAGAGACGTTAGGGCTATGGGAGTCGATATAGTTTGCTTTTACTCTTGATCGAATAGCATTTCTCGCTTGCGCGCTTGCATGCGTAACCACTAACCACCCGGAGCTCGACGATCATCGCCGAGTTTGCTGGAACGTGAGCGCAAACCGCTCGCGCGCGTTTGTGTGCGTGTGCGCGTGTGTGTGTGTGTGCGTGTGTGTGCGCGTGAGAAAGTTTTTATTAACCCTTTCGCTACGGCAAACTTTGATACGTACCGTATCGTGGCGTACGGTGGAAATTCAATCGCGAGAACGAATTTTTTTGGTCAGAGTGCAGTTCTCAGAGAGTATATTGAAATGATCAAAATACTGAATTACACTTACATCAAACGAATACAGTAGTGCCCTCTTAAGGGCATTCACAGTTGGGACCAAAAGGAGCTTAAGAGGGATGGTATATTGTGTGAATTGGCACCGAAAGAAAGAATGAGAATGATCGTCAACTGTTACACCGATACCAGTATTGTTGTACTACATCGTGTACTACAAATTTAATATTTTAAAATTTTATTTAAATTGAATACACTCGAACTATTTTCAATTTAATGCATACAATACTTTTAAACTAAATGAAGCAACAAATTATAACAGAGCAATAATTATCAAACGATTGTGATTAATCGACATTTCTCGAAAATTTATTCCCACGAAAGTAGCTGTTAATCAATAATTACCAATAATTGAATGGAAACCTTGAATAAAAGTCTTACAAAGTGTTACATTTTCGTCAGTATTAAATTAACAATACACATAGTATGATTCTATAATCGTATTGATACGTATAAATTGGATATGCATTTGTTATTTAATATAAATTTTGCGTCAAACTTTGATCGACATGTGCCTGAAACAATCAAAATATCGATGTCATATCAGTTTGTTTCATGTTTCGCGCTGCTCCGAACTAAATCTAAACTATGGGTGCCAACGGTATATAATAGCGTGGAGTGGGGATAGTCCTAATTCCAAGAATTGGTGGGGATAGCGACGAACACTTAAGTGGGTACCACTGTATTTAATTATTCGTATTCTGTATTGAATTGTCAATGCACATACTAAAAATTCAACAGTACTTTTAAGCTTTATTTCATATAGTACATCTAACAATCTAAGTAAAGCGTGGTAAAAAAATTCAAAACACGTCGGTCCTACGATACACGATCCTACGCGTCTCCCTTCTTTCGTGACGTTTTCCACACACTACACATTCGCTTGCATTTTCTCGAATTGTTATTGTGTCGCGTGTTATTCGCGTCTGAAAAATGAAAAGTCTCGTCACCGATGTTTTTCTCATTCGATTTACGTACGTAGGTTCTGCTTGAGCTGTGTCTTTATAACATTTCTTTCATTAAATATGAATCCGTCGCCTTTGGCTTGATTCGAGCAGTGCGACGCGAGCGCCAGTAGACGCCTCCCGTTTCAGCGGCGCCTGACCGAACTAAGGCACTATGGGTGCCAACGATATCTCTCTCTTTCTCTCCCTCCCTCTTCAGAGAGAGAAGAAAATTTTAAAAGCAACTTAACCAGTAGCCAAAGGGTTAAAAAGTAATCACCTCGCTAGCTCGATCGTCGCGCAATAATAAAATGCATGCACCTCGTGGCTGATGGAACGATGGTATAGGATAATAGGTTATCATTAGTTGTTGTTACACGCGTGTAACGTCACGGTGTGTGACTCGGCGATGTCGGCGAGTGGCTGGCTAAAAGAGGGGATAGGGGGAGGGGATGATCGCACGTGGACGCGGCGACGAAGACTATATTCGCGCGCCAGCAGGTCGAACATTCGCCAGTAACTAACTAAGAGAGTGGTTTTTGCCGGTTCTTTGGTGTTGCCCGTGTCGCGCGGTGCGTCCGACGCGCGTCGACCTCGTCGCGGCTGCTCGACGCAGTCTTCAGGACGGAATCGAGCGGCAGCTGACGCCACCGACGCCACCACCCCGAAGGAACCCACCCCCGTCCATTGATCCGAGCACCGGCACCTTGCACACTGTGCAAATCTCGTCCGGCAAGTCCGCCAGCGCAACGACGTCGATCGCCACGTGCACGAACACGTCCACCGCTACGACCAGCCCGAGCCTCGGCTCGTCCTCCAACGGGGCACGATGTTACGCGACCAGAGGCTGCTGCGTCGATTGTGCCGTCTGGAATAATCACGGTACGATTTACACTTTCACTCTCTCTCTATCTATCTATCTGTCTATCTGTCTCTATCTCTGTCTCTTTCCATTTCTCTTCTACGCTTATACACTCGTCCCTCCATTTACGCGGCACTTTTCGCGCGGTATCGACTCACCAGAGGTCGGACAATACATTTTCCTAGAATTTTTGAAAAAGTATATATCAATAACGTCGATAAACAAACCGATGAGAAAACGTCTGTTTTCTACAGTAGCCGGCGATAGTCAAGCGTTAAATTTGTGAAAACTTGGAAAGATGAGTTTGAGAACAAATCGTCCGAAGAAAAATTAACATTAACCCTTTGCCCTCGACTAACGTTTTTTTTTTTTTTTTTTGTGTCGTCAGTTTCGTAGCCAGCAATTTATTTAAAAAGTATCGCTCCAAATAAAATGACAATAACATTGGAAAATGTTATACGAAGTTATGTTGATTCCAACGTGCGATATCGTTTTAAATTTAAAGTGCAAGAATTGATGAAGAGAAAATGAAGTCGAACTGAGCAAAATTTACTTTCGTTTTCCGAAATGTCATTATCATTGTTGTTATTATTGTTATTTTGTTACTACCGTAAAATAAATATGTACTTCTTCGTAATTTATACCAGCTTTCCTTTCCAAACATTTCGTTTTTTCTATCGCGTACACATCCGCGTAAACGGAGGGACCAGATACGCATTCTCTTTTACAAAAAGAGATCGATCGACCGATCGGAAACTCAACTACTTTCTCTCTTCTGTCGAACAAACTCCGGTGACGGTCGTTACGATTTTTTTTTTTTATTCGAACGACTCTTCTGCCAGTCCCGACTAACTGGAGAAAGTATGAAGCTAAACGAAATGAAATGAAAGTAGCTGAAAAAAATCGTAACGAAAATTCTCGGGAGTAATAAAAAAAAGGAAGAAAGAAAATACGGTATGGTTGGAACACGCTGGAACACACTGCAGCCATAGATCGCGAGGACGGAGACTCGTCGGTGACGAGCGAGTATAGCGAGTCCGGCGTCTCGGGGAGTTCAGGAAGTTCGGAGAGTTTAGGAGGATCCGATGGTTCCGGAGGGTCTAGCTGGAGCAACTCGGAGAAGGTCGTCGCGGGAGTGCGTCGCCGCGGAGGCTCGCTGTTGACGGTAGCGTCGCTGTGCCGCGTTCGAGGTCGCCGCGTCGGCAAATCGGCACCGTCCAGTTTCCGAAACCGCGAGACCACCAGCAGCGGAGGCTGCAATAAGAGCGGCGAAGGCGCTGGTAAAGCCGGCCAAGGCGACGAGGGCGGCCAGGTGGGCCAGGTGGGCCAGGTGGGCCAGGCTGCCGCTGGCCAAGGAGGCGGTGGACAGTCGAGCAGCTCGACGACGTCCGCGAGTACCGGATTCGCGCATAGCGTCGCCAACGGCCTCAAGCTCGCCCAGACCCAGGCCATCGCTGTCGCTGGCTTCCTCGCCGACGTCGACTCGCGGCACGATCGCGTCTGCGCCTCCTGTCTCTCGCATCGGGCCTCTTACCACGGCAGAGGTGACTAATCCTCCACTAATACACACACGCCAGTGTCGTCCCCCGTCAATCGCCAACGCTCCAATCTCATCCTCCACGATCAATCATTGTTCACTGCCCTGAAAATTCACTCGAGTCTCTCTCTCGGTGATCAAAGTCGACGAACTCTCAAGTTGGAGTTCCGTTCGACGAAACGAGTGTCTCCTTTCTCCATTATCGGAAGGTGATTCTACATTTTCGAAAAGTCGATAAGAAAGAAGGGAATTTTCCTCGACGATCGTTTTCAATTTTTTTTTTTTTTTTTTTTCGACTCGGTTTGGACCAATTGGAAAAGTCTTTGAATTTGAAAAATTAAAGTCTTTCGCCGATACAGGGTGATTCACGCAACTCGCACACACTTGAAATAATTTTAAGTCTTTCACTTTATATTTGTGACCGTCTGATTCTTCCTTTTTCAAGTTAAAGAAACTCATTTCTGTGATGATTTTGCAAAGAAGACACGATACGTTGAAATTTCAGCGAGGCTTTGTCGAGAGCAAATACAATTCGAAACGAGTATTTCATTGGATTTACGATGTGGAGTGTGAAAGGCTTAACACTAGAACTATCAAAAGAAATTCTCGTTGGACACTTTATAGATACAAAACAGTGTATTTTTAGAGGCTCGAATGAGTCTTCGTAAAATACATAAACAAATGCTTGTGTACTCCACAATTGTGTATTACATGAAGTTTCTCTATCTTTTTGTCTTTGGAAATCTTATGCTTCAGACGTCGTTAGGTAGTTCTAGCGTTAACGACGCTTCTAGCAGCACAGCATTGACAGTTTCCTGTATTGCTTCGACAGCAGCATGAATATTTTACTTTTTATTTACAAGTCGTTTACTTACACACGCGCAGAAACAAAACGAAAAATTTTGATTGAAAATCACTCGCGAAGATACAAGATACTACACACACGAGGCCTATGAAACTGTTTTTTTAAATGTATGAAAATTCAAATCTCCAAAATATAATAACCACTCGCGCACGGTCCACTGTAAACGTCACTGCTACTCCGACAAACTCACGGGGTCAATTTTGAGGATGTTGACGTCGGTCTAACATCGTTCGCGTGCCACGACGATCGGGTTGAATTGAACCTTAACCACTTGCGCTAGCAATTAATTGCGGACCATAACGAGTGACCAAACTGTATACAATAATTCGTCTCTTTCTTTTTAAACTCGTCGGTATATCACTGGATAGAAATTATTGAGAAGTAATAAATTTATTAGTTGTTTTACTTAAATATACTTAAAACTGAGAAAATACAATTTTGAAACAAAGAGGTTAACCACTTGCGCTGGCAACCGATTGCGGACCATAACGAGTGACCGAACGGTATACAATAATTTGTCGCTTTCTTTTTCTTTTGAATTCGTCGGTATGATGTCGCTGGATAGAAATTATTGAGAAGTAATAAATTTATTATTATTTTTTTTTTTTTTTTTGCCTGGGTTATACTTAAATATACTTAAAACTGAGGAAATATTGCAATTTTGGGACAAAAAATTTTCAACGTAGCACGTCATTCCAGCGCAAGAGATTAACTACTTGCGCTGACAGCTAATTGCGGACCATAACGAGTGACCAAACCGTATACAATAACTCGTCGCTTTCTTTCTGAACTCACCGGATAGAAATTATTGAGAAATATAATAAATTTATTATTTGTTCTGTATATTTAGTTGTACTTAAATATATTTAAAACTGAGAAAATAACAATTTTCAACATGTGGCATGTTATTCCAGCGCAAGAGGTTAACCACTACTTGCGCTGGCAATTAATTGCGGACCATAACGAGAGACCAAACCGTATAATAATTCGTCGCTTTCTTTTTGAACGCGTTGGTATGATATCATTGGATAGAAATTATTGAGAAGTAATAAATTTATTATTTGTTTTGCCTTGGTTATACTTAAATATACTTAAAACTAAGGAAATATTACAAAAAATTCTCGACGTGCGTAGCACGTTATTCCAGCGCAAGAGGTTAAATAATATAAAACAAAATGATATAATAATGAAAAAAAAAAAAGAGACAAGCGGGGTGAAAAGCGCACGCGTCTGAAATTTGCATTTTGTTTCCTATCTTGTCCCACGTGATGCGACGCAATCACTCCTGATGCACCAACCACTCTAATTCGCCACTCTAATTTGCAAGCACACAAAGTGTCACACCACTAGCGATGCACCAGCAACACACAGAGACACCAAGATTTGCTCTCGGGGTATGGCCGTGTGTGTATGTGCGTGTGCGTGTGTGTGTGTGTGTGTCCACATGCATGACATGAAAGTTACCAGAAAGTTTTCTGTGTGCTCGAAGCATGCGTTCTGCCAAATAGTTTCTTCTCTTTTTTTTTTTTCTTCGTACGTACCGTGTAACTTGCTTGCGATGCAATAGTCGCTTGACTACGCAACTAATCACGCTCTCGAGGCGCTCGAGATGCATACACATACGCCACAAACCGCTGTCGAGATATCGTAGAGCTGTCGGCAGAGCGTACCGCGGTGAGCTTAATTCCTTCACCGACTGTCCTCGTTCGTCAGTTTCCTGGGCCGGAGAGAGTAACGGAAGCATCGGCGCAGAGCGCCTGTCCCACAGCTTGCCGGGCAGTCCTGCTGATCGGAAGCCGAACTTCGAGGTCATCGGTAGCGCGGAAAGCTTGGTCGGTCGAGTAAGTCTCACTCTTTCACTCTCTGTTCCCCTGGCAACGTTAAACTTGACAAAAACTCCTCCAGCTATAGACACCTACTGGCACATAGTTTTCAATTAGTTTTAGTTATAAAATTTCTTGTATCAATTTAAAAAGAAAATAATACCAATAATACTAATAATTCAGTATTTAATATAGTATATTGTTTTTGTTGACCAGAAGAAAGTAATATTTTATAGAATTATTCTTTCTGTCGAGAAAGTGAAAAAGAAGAAATAAATATTCACGGTATATTAACAATCAGGACATTTTTAACATCCTCTTCTGAAGGTGTTAAATCGTTAGGTTGAGGCATACGCAAGGTAGCTCGCGTAGAAGGACTCTTAGCAACTCTAATAACCTAATTGATAGACATACCTATCTACATACATACCTACCGTGGCAAATGCAACTTGCAACGGTACAAATGCCTGCTGTTTGCAATTGACATTAACGAAACCACGTCTTCTCGTAGGTTCTCGTTGAGCAAGGACTGGGCAAGTATTGCGATCCAGACTTCGTGAGATACACGTCGCGAGAGATGCAGGAAGCGCTGGACATGACGCGCGAGGAGATGGACCGGGCGGCGCACCAACTTCTCCTGCAGGAACGTCGCGGGCAACCGTTGTCGTACCAGTTGCAGCAGGGAGCGGAGCAACAATGGTTGCCGGCCTATCAGCCGATACAACCGAGTCAGCAGGCGACAGGGATCGGGTACCAACCGCTGCAGGAGCAGCGACCGCCTGGCACGCGACAGTATCATCGATCCTACTATCGCGGCGATGGGCAAACGGCCGCGACCTCGGACTCGTCGCAGCAACAGCAACAACAACCGCCACCATCTTAGCGACGCGACGCCACGTCGCCCTGTAAATCGTGTTCCTAAACGTTCTCTCGTTCACCTAGCCAAACGAGAACAACACTTACGTCCCAGGTAACGTTGGCTGTCTGTCGTTTCGGCGAAGACGCGCCCCAACAGACCAGCCAGCAGTCTCGAGCGAGCAGCGAAACGCGACTCTTGTTGCGCGTCTCTCGCATTCGCACTCGGTAAAGATGAAGAAAGAAAAGGGTGAAAACTTTGGATCCTCGACGTTTCTCACGACGTTTCTGGCGCGTAGGGTAAACGACGTCGGTCGACAGATGATCGGCAGTTGACGATTGTGGGAAAAAGAGGAGAACGTGGCAAGGAAGAAGGCTTTCGACGCGATCGGGAGAGGATCGGCTGACGCAAGCAATAAAGCTACGAGAGCAACGTCGCTGGGAAAGGTTTCATCCGTCTGACGAAGAAGAAGCAGCAGTCGACTGAGACGACTTTTTTCGTCGCCGTTGCTGCAAAAAGGTGGAAAAGACTGGAAAAGCTAGTCAGACTGTGAGATAGTACCGTACGATTGCCAATTAGGAAACGATTAGGAAAATGTACAGCAACGGGGATGATCGCGCATGAAATTCTTCCGACTCGATTGCGACTACAATTTCGTCACGCGTGTCTCGCGTCGTGTTTCAAGCTTCGAGCTTTGGTCGTAAACGGCGTCGAACGAAAGTGGGAGGCCCAGGCGCCAAACGACTCGATCCTTATCCCTGCTCTCGTTCTTATCGTAAAACACTTGTCCCTTCGATTACCGTTGTTTAGGATATACACAATTGAACTCATTATTGCTCTTTGTACGATGGATCACTAGATGAGATAACAAGTGCCTAAGTATCTGTAACTTCTTTCGGACCAGAGAAGACTTTTATCAACTTAGACAAAGTACTATTACGGCGAATTACGAGAACGAAGTTGAGAATGTACGGTATGCTACGGTATTGTGACGATATATGTACATACGCATACATACATACATATATGTATGTATGTATGTATGTATGTATGTATATATGTATATATATGTCGTTATGTGTATTTTACACGCACAGACATGTCCACACACAAAAAAGGAAAACACAAACGACATCGGAGAGAACACAATGCTACAAACCCTCCCATACAAAAACACGCATACAAATCTATTGTTATTACTACTAATATTATTACTGCTACTACTACTACTACTATTACTACTACTACTACTACTATTACTACTACTACTACTACTACTACTACTACTACTACTACTACTACTACTACTACTATTACTACTACTACTACTACTACTACTACTACTACTACTACTACTACTACTACTACTACTACTACTACTACTACTACTACTACTACTACTACTACTGCTACTACTACTACTACTACTACTACTACCACTACTACTACTACTACTACTACTATTGTAATTGTTATTATTATTATTATTTTATTATTATTATTATTACGACTACTGTTGTTGTTGTTATTATTATTATTATTATTATTATTATTATTATTATTATTATTATTATTATTATCATTATCATCACTATTACTACTACTATTACTACTATTATTATTGTTATTATATTATTATTACGTTTTATTATTATTATTATTACTACTATTATTTGTACATACACGTTGCGGGTATAATAATTGACGCGCGAGGGTGAATGATCGATAAGCGATACTGCCCGCGATATGTCCATTTCTACGTCGGAGGTTGAACCGCGGTGTACGCGCATCATCTGCCAAAGAAAACATTGAATACTACTTCGAATACGAGGCGAGCCACACGACAGCCAAACCATCACCGACGGGCAATCGAACATGGTGCTTTTACTCACCGATATCGACATTTCAATCTTGCAAATTGTCGGTATACGGGAACCACCCACTACGCGACTCGAACAGACAGGCTCGATGATACCACCGTCTCGGTCCGCGTGATCCTCGCACCCTCCACACTCCCAGTGGTTGGAAATCTCCGGACAATGTACGTCTATGATAACTCGCGCCAATCTTCCGTCACCGTTTCATTCTGTCACCCTCTCTTTTCACCGCTCTCTATCAAACCTGGCCATTTTTATAAATTACCTCCCAACGAAATGTACAAAAAAGTAACGTACGCGCACCTATTTGCATATATATGTGTACGTATGTCCCCGGTATACACACGAATATTGAAACCGAATATCGAATAACATCTTTGTACGTTATTCGATACACGTTCGGTACGGTCGGGACCTCTAGAGAAACCGGGAGAAAGCGAAAGAGGAAGTACGATGAGAAAAAGAAAAAAAAAAAAGAATGAAAAAAAATGTGAAAGATATCCAATAGACACGTGGTTCTGCGGATATTCCACCAATTAGACCAGTTAGTCACGCCGTTCCGTGCATCGAAAAAAAAAAAAAAAAAAACATTCTGTCACTCTGTCGAGCAACTTCGTGTCAATGCGAATCCGAGGCGACTTTGCGTGTAATAAGTAGCTTCGTCGTGGTAGTGACGCAGAGAAAATGTTGGAAACGCTTTCCTCGCGACGTTGCGAATTTTTAACCAACTGCTCCCCTCTCGGGAAGAAGTGGAAAAAGTGGGACGCGGAAACGTCGGGAACGCGGGATCCCTCGAGAAACCCCCGACGACACCATGTTCACAATCTCTCGTGTACCTTGAAACGACTTGGACAATAATTTTCATCGACGATATTTCTCAGAACCACGTTCTCTGGAAACTCCTCTCGATGAGTCCTACGTACGGACTCGTCGCGAACGCGTTACCAAGTTTCTTCTTCACGTTTTACGTTTCTCCTCTCCATTCGTTCAGATCGAATAGAAACGTACGAACCGTCTCGCGTTTCACCACCTTCCGTTTCCTCGTTACCTTTTCGTCCGTTTACGTTCGCTCGGTCAGAGCGAGATCTTTTCTAGGTAAATGTGTAGCAAACGATAAACGTATAATCGTGTACGCGAGTATTGTAAACTAGTAAGAATACGCGTTCGAAGAGCCGCGGCCGACGCGAGCCCTTCGTCGACAAGGGAACCAAAGAAAACTATTAGAAAAAAAAAAAAAAGAAAAAAAAGGACGCTATTTAAAATGAAACAAACAGAGAAACAAAGAAACGGATACCGTCTTTGGACACTTTCTTAGAGATACGATAATGTAGGTAGGTGGTGTGTGTGAGGAGCCGAGACAGTCGGTGTGCGTAGTAACGCGCGCGAAAATTTGAAAGCGAACGAATGAACGAAAGAAAAGACAACCACCAAGTCGGCCAAGTTTCGTCGAGGAGATGTTTGTCGCGCGCGATATTACCGACCGATTCATCCCCCCCATCCAAGGGGGATGCTACTCGCGTTACTGTATGTATAGCGAACCTTTCGTATTCGTTTTTTTCCAGCGTCTTTTTAACAATTGTGTATTAGTCTATAGCGATCTTTTTATACTGTTGTGAAGTGACGTTTACACCGATCCGTAGAATATACCGCGTTAGACGAAACAAATTCTTACCTTTAAATCGTAATGTCGGGTTTAAACGGCGGCGCGCGATGACCCTTAGGTCGTCGCATTTAGGTGTTTGATAGACGCGTTTAGGGAGACCAACGTTTTCTATGTTACGAGACTGACACGAGATCATATTCGAGTGTGTGACACACGTGCACGTGTACATATTGTACTATATTGTACCGAACGAGAAGCAAGCAAGACGCAAAACTCGCGGCAAACCGGTCCTTTTTAATGCCTTCTTCTTCTTCGGTCTCGCTAGCCACTGCTAATGGTACTTCACTATTCGTCGTGCTACTACTTTACAGTACACATTCTATATACACCATAACACCGTATCGACCAGATCTTTACAACGTTCGTTCGACGCGCAAGATTCGCTCAAGCGTTCAACTGTTGCATTAGTGCCCACTTGAGCGCCCGCTTTCGGAACCGAAAGGTGTATTCTGCCAATTGTGCCGAAATATCGGTATCGAGTATCACTCGCTCTCTATTGTGCAAGTATCATGTTTCACGCGATCTTCGGCACGTCGATAAGGTAGAATGAGATAGTCCCAATTCCAAGAATTGGTAGAGGGGATAGCAACGGACGCTTAAGTGGGGACTACCATACTTGCCGAGTACTTATCAAATTTGTTCTGGCATCGTAATTGAACAACAATATTATTCCAAAAATACCGGAGAGCTTCCCAGAAAAAAAAATCGAGTCTTGCACTTCGACGCGTTTTCATCCGCGCTACCGAATATTCGTGGCACAGCTTTGGCACTCACACACGCTACTCGCACCGTTTATTTTTATTAAGACGTTCTTGCAACGATGTCATCGGTTTTTAGAAACCATACTCGGCGACGTACGGTTCATTGGAAAAAAAGTGACAACGCGATTCCTCCCTCCCTTTGTTTTGTTCTTCGACTTTCTCAATTTCTCGCTTTTCTTTAACTCTCAGAACTGAAACCTCAAGTTCCGATTCCATTTGAATTTATGCACGGAAACAGATTCGTTAAGCGGGGAATTTTAGTTTAGATATTCTAGCTCTAGTCCTAGTTTTAATTCTAGTTTTAGTTCCAGTTCGAAAACGTGATTGTAGACGCTTCCGATTTTCGGATCGGTTCCTTGTTACTGCTCAACCACTTTCGTTTACTTTCCAATTTCAATCTATCCTCTATTCTTATTTTTACGCACAGACGAGGTACATATAATACGAATATACCTCGTCTGTGTTTTTACTTATTATTACACACATTACCAACAGATACTCGCAGCTAGGTGGCGGATCGATCGACCATCAATTAACAACCTGTCAGGGTTGTACGAATGATACAGTTACATTACAAATAATGCGCACAATACGATTAAGTGTGGTTTAACGACTTGACGCGGTGATGACAAATGATCAGAAATGCCGAGAATGAAATAAAAATTTCATGGAATAAATGATGCGACTTTGTCTGGCTACTTTTAGTAAAATATACACGGTGTGAATTTATTTGGCCAAGTTCGATCGTCTTCGATTCGATTCGATCTTTTTTCTTTTCGTTGCCTGTCTCCACGAGCGTACGTGTTCGTTTTCCGCAAAACGACGCGACCTGCACGTTCCGATAGAGAATCGCAACTTTTCTATTTTTCGCATTTTCTCTGTTCGTAAACCGATCAAGTCGAGGAGACGCGTTCCCACGCGAAATCGATGGCCCCATCGATGTACCACGCGATGTATCTCGCTGAAAAAACAGTAAATACGTGCTCGGTGCCCGCGTCCATTGGGAGTTTTAACAGAGTCAAGAGCTACGACCTTCGAAGATGCACAATCAACAGACACGCACACGATATACTGCCGTTTTTCTTTTTCCATTTTTTTTTTTTTTTTTTTTTTTATTTCGTGCCACAAACCCAACAAGCTTCATCGCTCTACATTTCTCGCGCTGGTTTTGCCTGATTTCCAGCTAACCAACAAAGCAGTTTCACGGGAAGCGGGGGAACGTACACACAACCTAATCCTCGACGCGTGACCACGTGATCGGCTATTCAAAGCGTCCGATCTCGAAGTTCCATTATAGGTTTCAGCTACATGCATACCGCTATATCTTACAACCTCAATACAGGACGTAACACTTGTTTCTGACGGCTTTACGGGCCTCTTCGTATTCTATGGCTATATATCAGATAATACACGGGGCTCGCCTCGCATCCTCGAAACGTTACACGGAAAACAGAGACGTGTTCTTCCCGCTCCGGTGATACCGGACTTCGCCATCATATATTTATACGATATAAATTCCGCCGCCGGGTTCTCGTTACGCTTGTAACGCGGCGATCGTACGAACGCAGAAATTCGGCCCCGTTTTTCTTTCGGGCTGGCCTCGGAAATTAAAACCGGGATAAAATGGTCATTACACTAATGCGAAAAACAACGGAAGTTTCTCTCTGATGTTTACAGCAGATGAACAACTTTCAGTGATTAATCGGGGCAATAAAATCAGAGTAATCGAAGAGATTAAGTAATGGAACGCTCAGATAAAATTTTTTCTAATTTTAGAAGTCGAATAATTTTCCCATCAATGCGTTGCATTGTGTGTTTTCTTACATTTTAGTAGCCTCGCAGCTCTCACTTTGTAACATATCGTAAGATGGATTATTCATTAAATATGAAACAAAATTAATATGCATATGAGAAGAATTTTATATAACAATAACAATGTTATGTTTTTATCGTGAATTTTTATTTCATTTATAGGAAATTTAAAGATACACGAAATAAACGTGCGCAAAAATGTATACGAATAAACCCAAAACATACTACTCGTTATAGTACATATTTTATAAATAAAGTCGTCTATTTAGATTTTTAATTTTCACCGAAATCCGCAGTCTAAATACACATGAATCGACACACTGCTCTAAATTTCTATAATCGTTTCTCATTTTATGTTCGCTCACCTCTATTTTCTCTTCCATGAAATTAAATCTTCGAACAAGACGCGTTACTTACAAAACAATCTCGACACATTCGCAATGCTAATGACTAAACTAAAGGAATGAAACGTAACGACTTACGTAACAGCAACGACTAAAATTTAATTACTGTCTCGCAGTTATTATCGTTATTCTCGCAGTCGCGAAAACCGTAAGGGATTTGCTCGCGCGTCTGACGAGCGACGCACCGTTTCTACTTACGGCGCGAGCATTTCGAAAGTTAAGTCGCGTTCAATTAACGCCAGGCAAATTCGTGAATCCGCGTGAATGCAGACTTAATACGTCACACGCCGGCTTTTAATGCGGCCATAATGTCGCCAGATTAAAGTTTCACCGACGCTAATTATTTCTAGCCCTTAGCTAGACTGTAGCCGGATTGTTTAGAACCGTGGCCTCCGTCGTTCGCTCGTACAAAGCGTTCTCGCTGCTCGGACTACCGTACGTACATACATACATAGTTGTACACGGACCGGGAACTTCCTACATGGAACGACGCGGTCGGAATAACTAGGAGTTTCGAACGAATCCTGGGGACGTTCGGTGCACAAATCTATAGCGCGAGGTGGAAAAGGTCGGGGCTACGAACGAGAAGTTAAACGATGAAAGTGCACGCCTAACGGATGCTAATGGCAATCGGATTCAATAAATGGCACGGAACTTTTCGTTTACTTTGGTGGAACAATTTTTCAGTGAATTGTATATTGTACATATATATTTTTTTACATTGTATGTATTACCTGATACAGAGTCTATAATTCTAATTCTCCGGTATGATTTATTCTACATTTTCTATCACGGTAACGAAATGTTAGAATGCTGAATTATTGATTAAATGTGAAACAAAACAGATAAGACTATATTTTAGCAAATGTATTACATTTTCAGTAAAGATATAGTTTACAGAATTTTTCAGTTTACTTTTTCGTGAAATAATTTTTTGAATAATTTTTCAATCAGTTGCATCGTATATTTCATCGTGTATTTTACTTTGTTACTTCTATAACTTTCGTTTTGTAATGGAATCTGGCAGGAATGTTGGACCATTCGTTAAATATAAAATAAAACGAACGTCATCGTATTTAACATTTAACTTTTAGAATAATTGCATTCAGTAGATACATAACAGAGTTTTTCCTTTCAATTCTTCTACTGGTTTTTGGTGAAATATTGAACATAGTCAAATGTGAAATTGAAAGAATAGAACTACATTTAACAACAACATACAAACAAAACAAAAATATGATAACAACTTTCAGAGTAATTGATTTAATGTCCGGTAGAATCTCTTTGTTTTGTCTCGATCTGACGCTTTGTGACAGAATATTGAGGGGATATTGTATTGCAAGCAGAAAAATATGAAATAAAACAAATGAAACTGAATTTAACAGTAATCTATAAATAAAAGGATATCAAACAGAATGATAAATTTGAGAACAATCCTCTTTCTTTTTGACTTCCGGATGTCTGCAGCGATTCACAGAATTCCATCATAAAAACAATATAACAATATTCCGAATATAATGAAAACAAATTTTCATTAACATCCACAAAGCTGGTATTATTTTCCCGTTGAAAAAATACTGTTTCCCGAATACACGAATTTTTCTGCAATTTCGACGTAATCGTTAGTTTTACTTCGCATTGTCTACCATGTGATATAATAAGTATTATATAATTTAATTTATGTCCTTTTAAAGCGAAGAAATAAGTACGATCTTTTAAGGAAAAAATCGTAAAAAAATTTATTATAGTTAAACGTCTAATTTTCCTAGGAATATTCGCATTGGCTATGGAAAAATAAAAAGGAAATACCGAATGTGCGGTGAATAGAATAAAATTGTTCAAAGAATTTAAAAGAATGTACGATATATCTTAAATAGTTAATCTTTCATACTCTGCGCGTCAAGTCTCCGTCCATAGTGCAGTTCAGCGTTCACCAAAACTGTACGAAAGAATTTTAGAATAGCACACGTTTGAATGAGATTCCTATGTATGTATATTTGATAAATTGAACCAGAATGCCTCTTTGTACACCCTTTCGTGCACGTCTGATGAATTAGACGAACGAAAATATGTGTACGCTCGCGGAGCGAAATTTTTGTTTGCCCGTTGTACAAGCAAAGCGACGCGATGTTAGAATGTCCGCGAGATGTCAGACGTTAATGTAGAAACGCGAAGCGCATTTGCAGCGTCGGTTGTCGTCCATCATCGTCTCCGCGCGCGAGTTACAACAAGCTACAAGCCGACGTGTTCGTGTAAAGCAATTGCCATTACACGGTCTCTTAACGTTTTCTCCAGGAACGCTCGTGTTCATTAATAACGAAGACGCAATTAAAATTTTATACGTCGGCGAGGTTACATTAATGAATTATTCATGCGGAATACGCGTGGTTTTGCGTCTGTAACGTACGTTACTTTGTAAGATTTCTTGCGCCGCAATTTTAAAGCTGGCTCTGACCCACATACGGGGTGAAAAGTTCAATATCCTTGAAATAGAAGTAACCTCGAAGCATGGTATATGTCCAATAATGTCCTCTGTGTTTTTCTTTTTTTAACGAACATGCACGGGAAGAGAGCAGGCCGAAACGATTTTCCTCAAAATCGAGCGTTTCGCGACGTGGAATAAATTTCTATCCAAATGTTAAATATTAAAAATATTTCTAATTATTTAAGTGATAATTTTGTTCGTTCGACTGTTACTAAATAGATTAGTCATCGGTTAATACGTTTTGTGATTTTTTTCAAAAAACATACTTTCATCTAAATATCGATATTGTTCGTTCGCTTGTTATTAGGTGGATTAATCATCGGTAAAGCCAGCCTATCGTTTGCTCATATAATTAACAATAATCACAAAGCGTGTGTGATCTAGCCAAGCACAAACGAATGCCATTAACGCTGTTTAACGTGACATTTAATCGAACCCGATGATGTAGAAGTTGATCAGGCTTTATGCGCAACACGCAATGACCCGTTCGAGCTTCGCTAGCGCAGATTGGGGACCTATTGAGCCTTGTTCGACGCGGTGGCAGCTCGCAGGCCCTGATTTGATACGAATAGAGCACGATTGGATCTCATTCGATACGGAGCCGATTGGATCGTATTCAATTCCCGATACGATTTCGTTTGAATCTCGTCTGATACAGTAAGACCCGATTGGACCACGTTTAACGTCACAAAACGAGCCTTTCGTCGACGAGTCGGGTCATTAGAAAGATATTTCAAGAATTTATGAATACGATAGCGGCGAGCGTGGTGAATTAAAATGCGTCGCCGTTGCGATCCAGAGGCTGTAGTTAGTTCGCTCGTCTGGCCTAACGCAGTAGCGTTCTACTGTGGCTACACGTGCCAACGATGTATCACTGGATTCGTGTCACTGCAAGATACCCGCGAATCACACGAGAACTCGATAGCACGCAGTTTCTTTCGAATTTAATCGCATTTAAGTCTCGATGAGTCCAACGGAGTAGAGTCGTGTTTCGTTTGCGGCGAGTTGTGCAGGTGGTTACAGTTTGCCACCGGCGGCAGGTAAGCAATACGAGTCGTGGCTCGGCAGTTCTACCGATTTCAAAGAGAAGCGATCAAGTTCTGGAAGACCGAATGTCAGGTCGAATTATACCCGTTTCAAAGAGTTTCCATTGTCCTCTGTGTAACGTCGGACCGACACCCGATCGAATTCCATCGTTCCACCAGTGGCTCGCAGCCACCTTATGACAAATTCAGTCCAACTCAAACGCGAACGCAAGACGCTGCCTTCTACCATAATCTCTTTATTAATTCTTACGGTGGTCATTCGCCCCTTTGCCTTTTTGAGTTTCAAACGTCCGGCGATTATATCCGATAATCCGAGTGTCGATGCACTTTTTTCGAGACTATAAATCGAAGCGTCGGTGTCAATACGTCGACTCGCGTTGCCACATACCGGTTTCAAACCGTCTGTCGGCAACGTTTCCGTTTGCTGGCGGATTAACAGGGATTATACTGTGCGCAGGCTATCGGCGAGGACACTCACCACCTTTCGGCCATCACGATGCCAGGAACGTGCTCGATGACCGATGCGGTCAGAATCGTCGACAGTTAGTGATGCGGAGGAGCAGGTTGTCGGCTCGCCGATGGCTCAGGTCACCAGCAGTATGCCAGTTCTCGAACCCAGGCGAGATCCGGGTCCTTCGCGAGGACTTCTGATCGGCGTTCTCCTCTTACTGTCTCTGCCACGGTGTCACTGCTTCGACTTGGGTAAGTTAAACGTTTACTTATGGCAGACGTCGTGTTCCTTTTAACTTAGGGTATCTCCGTCGAGATGGATTGAGGAACTGTTTCTGATACCATAGATACTTTACTGCAACGACTTTGATTCATTACTCGCGTTGTTGAATCTCGATCTCGACTATCTTAATTATCTGATTATTTTTGAGACCGGTTTTCTTAACTGTGTTTCTGATTGCTGTGAGAGGATCGTAGACGTTAATAAATTCAAGAGTTAAGTCACACTCGTTTATGATAATGAATATCTTCTTTTCCTTTAAGACATGGGAAACGATGATCGTAAAGATGATATTTAAATAAAAGTTCTTGCAATAAGAATTAGTATCGTGGAGTAAACTTAAACTACATAGTTGCAGAAAATTTTAACTACTTTTAGTAATTAGTTTTAACTAATACTAAGCAGTATATATATAAGCTATAATAATAATAGTTACTGCTAATAATAAAAATTTAACTACTTCTAACTACTTCTATAATAATAGTTATTACTAATAATAGTTACTATTTTTATTATTACTACTAATAATAATAGTTACTACTAATAAAAAATTTTAACTATTTCTAGTAATTAGTGTATATATAAGCTATACTAATAATAATAAGCAGTTTCGAATGAATCAAAAAAATCAATTTAATAAAATAACTTTTTCATAAATCTTTGGAAGGGATAGGTTGCACACATATGACTTTATATGTAAGACTCGTAAGGTATACGATAAATTTAAAATATTTTTGAAAACTTTCCATAGTAACTTCTGTCTCCTCAATTGCTCGATAATGCATAATCGAAATATTAGGTTCGCCGATTGAAATTACCAGTTGTTGTAAATCTGCTGTTAAAATTATTCAAATTGCTGAGATTGTCAGTCCCTAAGCAATTCTTCATAATGCAAACATTCATTTATCTTTCTATCACCAAGAGTTGATATCCCGCGGAGATTGAATGATTAAAAAATTCTGTAATTCACCGGTGATCGTTCAACAATAAATATGACCGTCGTCGAAGTGAATTTCGACCGATTGCGAGGGAAAGGAGAAGAACACCCTGCTCTATGGGTACCTGTGGTCCGTCGTGGAAAACGTATACCCGGTGTCGTGTAACTCATGGTTCATGGAGGGTCATTTCGCCAGATAAAGGGAGAGAAAGACGAAACGAAGGAAAAATATTGTTCCATTTGTGCGGCGACTATTCCACGGAAATGAATTTACCTTGGTTTCCGTGTCTTTCTCGTTGTCTTCCCGGCAGTAATATCGCCGGATGCTAAAGCGGAGAAAAATTATTCTGATATTTTTTTTCTCCCCCTTTGTTCTCGCGTGTATACACACACACACACACACATAGACACACATAGGGGAACACACTACTTGGCGAGGTTAAAGCGGGAAGGGCGGTAAGCTACACGACGTGCAATGCCTCCGGGGATTCTGCACGGATTTCTTTTCCCTTGATACGATACGGGAGAGAGGTAGAAGTGCAAGAAGAAACACGCGAGAGAGAGAGAGAGAGAGAGAGAGAGAATTTCCCGAAAGTCGGGCTGTAAAATTTAAATTTTTCTACTGCGCGCATATCGGGAGCAGCGGGATGCAAGCACACTGTTACGGGTGCCACTCTCGCCAGAGTAATATACAATTACTACGGCGTGGTGCACAAGACACGTAAACCGAATGCGATCCCTGGAACGCGACGCGACCCGCGCGAAAACTTCATTGATTTAGCATATTTTCTCGGCATTCAGCCTGCAAATTGAAGGGAAATTACACATACATGTGCGTGTGTAACCGGCGCGTTACGGAGCTCGCGGGATGAATTTGCAAAGAGGAACGAACAACGTATTTTTCACGCCCGGCAACTCGCTAACTGCGATCTTCGTGTTATTTCTGATTTTCGCTTGTTGCGCGAGACGCGTCTATCGTATATCGTCATCCCGGAGCTTAATTCGCGTTTCGGTTTAAACCACGGGAACGGGGGACGACAAAGTGTGACAGCAAATAACAAAACATCGGAAAACGAATCTCTGGACGAAAATTTCTAGCTTCCAGTTACGTGCACCAGACATACATACCGGTAACGTCTGCGACCGTTTGTAAAGAAGCCTGTCATTATGCAGAAAAATTAATATTCATCGTTTTCCCCACGGGGAAGGGCCGCAACGGGGCCACACGCTCGGTTTCTATTGTACGGCCGCGAATGAAATGTCAACGGCACGATGAATTAACAATACTATCTAATGGCTGCTCAGACGCAGACAGCATTGTGCCGATTCATTCTCTCGCGTTACTACTCTGTCTACTGTCTCTTATTGCTTATCGTTCACCAGTGATGTTTTTAATGCCACGAACATTATCGCGAATGGAAAGAAGTACAACACCAGCGCCAATCGAAAGCTTGGATACGCTTCTATTGCATCATTGTATTTTATACTGTTTCGTACATTACCATTTCGTATTAACTTTTGAACTATTAAATTAGAACCACTCGCGCAATGTTCTATTTTTTTTTTTTTTGTTTTACTTGAAAATTTCACTTCTCATTTCTTCTTTTCCCTACATTAGTTCATTTTTTATTCTTGACGTTTTTGCGAAATAGTCAAACTATGTCTGCATATTCTGCAGATGTTTAATAGAATATTTTAGAATATTCTTGCGTTTAATATCTCGGTGGTTAATAAAACTTTCTAATTTAATTTCGTTCAAACGTTTCTACTTTATTAAGAACATTTAATACGTTGAAAATTGTGAGTTCGGTATGTTCACTTTTTGTGCACAATGTACTGAAATAAATATTTGAACCAAGAAAATTACTATAAATATTAGGAATATATACTGGTGCTGGAAGATGAACTACAAGTATGTTTGTTCAAATTTCTGATCGGTATATATCATTTATGGTACCCGCGATTCACAATGAAACTCTCTTCTTCGTGTATTTCTTCTCTCAATTTTTATTGCATTCCACGCGTCCTCGCATCCACGATTAATTCTTCAGTTTATTCTATTTGAATTATTCGGATTATGTGCATTGAAAACGGAGAAAAATAGTCGGTTCTACTGCCTTTTCAGGTGACTTTAATTAACACGGAATAACATCGAGACTGGTCCCCGATCGATAGATTTTTCGGTATTCACGAATCAATAGCGAAGAAAAATAGCGTCAAAGAGCAATCTTTCGAATTGTAAACAAATTTGCGTTTCACCCTAGCGAGAACCGGTTGCCGATTTATTTTATTTTATTTTATTTATTTTTATTATTTTATTTTATTTTACTGCAACACGCTCATTGTTTCGTCCGCTTGTTTAATTAATCCGCTTGAACAGCGAAAAGCAACGAGCATTGGTTAAGAATTGGCCGAGTTAACAGATCCCGATTCTACAATTCGAACAGAATTCTAATTGCGACGGAACGTTTCTGTGCTCAGTGCTGTTTACCTGTTCAGAATGGAAACGATCCTTTTACGCTAGATTTTGCAACCGAAGAAGATTATCAATCATTAAACAAGCTTTCTTTGTATTATTATCGAGAGAAACAGAAGCAGAGGAATGTATTTTCTGGAGATAGAAATAGAAAGAAATAGAAAATATTCTTACGTATGACGCAGCTGCGTTTCATTATATAAGTCACGCGGGATTTATTTATTTTTTTGATGTAAACTTTGTGCGTACTTCACACAATCTACATCATGTAGATAATATTTTTATAAGTATATATATATATATATATATATATATATATATATATATATATGTAATTTTCAGTAACAATCTAATTGCGTCAATCGATACTTCCGTCCCCGATATTTTCACAATCAGAATTATGTCTACATTCACGTCAATGAAGGACCAAGCCTCAATCATTTCAGGCAGTAGATTTCGAATGGAGTTCACTAACCGTATAACGAAGTCTAATTGTTCTATCTAAAATAGCGCAGCGGAGCAAAGAGCCGTTCCCCGCAACTCTCCTTGTTACAAGAACGAACAGAGACGCACGTCGGTTGCAAATGACAGTTGCTTAGAATAGCACGGAACTGTACATCATCTAATATTCGTAGCAAGACGCTCCTTCCGAACAAACCTTCGCACGAAATTCTGATCGTAGGGACAACGAACATAGTTCATACGTGCAGTTTATACGCGTGCAATACAAATGTCCCTTTCTTCCGTAGCATGTTCGTGCTACTGACAGATTAGAGTGATATATTTCGCCCCTCCCCTCCCCCTCTCCGCAATCTCGAAGAATCCACAAGGCGCCGGAAGTTCCCACCGAATAATTTTTGGACGAGGGAAAAACACCTGCGCGAGCTACAGTTGGATCCAGCGAGCTACTCGTCGATCCTTTCTGCCGTGAGTTCGATAATTACGGCTCATCTCGGGCCGCAGTTTGCCCCAGTAATAGACGCTGCATAAAGAGGCGTAGTCGGTATTCCGGGAAGCGCGATCGAAGTTACGCCGACACCCAGGATGGCGACAGTTCCAAGGATTGAATTGCAAAGAGAACTAGGCCATGCCTATCTGACAAAGTGCAGTTCGCGCGGCGTAGACGGGCGTGCATATCGGCAACCGGTGGAACAATGGACCAGCGTGTTGCGCACGGCGAATGTTTTATTCCAGCGAGCAATTATGCCAATGTGCTTAGAGTTTCCAACGTCTGTGTGCGGCCGCCGTCGCCAGTTTCATCCCTCTGTCGATGCACGGTGTTATACAATCGCGAGAAGTTAATTTACCGCGTAGGTACCTGTCTGTGTTTGTTGCTGTTTATTGGACTTTTACGATTAAAATTCCGTCCTGTTTTCTTGACAGTTTTTAAACGTTGTGTTACTATGGGTAACAGTAACAGTTGTAATTTTTATCGTACGATTAAAATTGTCCTGTCTTGACAGTTTTTAAGCGTGACTTGTGTTACTATGGGTAACGGTGACAGTTGTAATTTTTATCGTGCGAGTAGCAAAGGGAGAGAAAGCAGGAGATAGTGGAGTTAGTGTGCAAATCTAATCTGGACGATTTCGTTTGGTTCTTCTATTCTACGAATATATCTGAAGTTGTGTCAACTATGTCGGGATTTGGGTGGTTTAGAGAGCGGATGAAATACCTAATTGAGAGGTCCCATACGTCTCATAGATCCCTGTCTAATGAATAAAATTTGTTCCTGCTTATGTGAAAAACATTGTTGAAATTGTGTCTTCAACAGAGCAACAGAGCAGTTTGCATTCGGACGATTAAATAACAATTTACGAATAATGATGTTAACAAACCCACAGCTTAAGTGTTTATTCATCGAACCAGTCACTCTAGACCACCTAATGTTTTCTCTTTGAAAAAGCTACGCAATCAGACGATACTCGTTATTATTCCGTCATTCGGGGGGGGGGGGGGGGGAAAGTTTTGTTAAAAGTTTCGGGATTTAAACGGAATCGTCGATTTGTCAATGCACTTGTCTACGTACCTGACAGTGAATAGTTAAGGGAGAGAGGGAACTAGGTCCGACGAGAGAGGTGAATTCAAATTAACGTAAAAGCAATTATTAGTTCGGTGAGGGGGAGGATGAGAGGGAGGCGGGGGGAGGGGAAGGACATTTTAAGTTAACAGGGTACGTTAGCCAGAACTGTTGGTTTATTGTTCCTGGCCGATGTTAAGCGTTTATCGAAAGGAGTTCGTTCTGATTGTGTTTTGGGAATGATTGTTGAACGTGAGGAACTGCAAACAATCTCCCACGAAATTGTCCTAAACAGAGCTCGGTGAATGAGTCACGTACTCCTGTTAACTGCTTTGCAATATCGACTTGCGTTCCCGCTTAGGCGCTGTTTAATCGTTCTGTTGGCAGAACGTTCTCGATTTTACTATTCCCTCCTTTTTGTTTTATTCATTCTTCGGTGTATAATGCGCCGTCGACTTTCTGAAAATCGTTATCGAACGCTATCGGCGTTGAACGAAATTCCCCCCTCCCCTCCCTCCCACCGGGACGATAGTGTTCGAATATTGAAAGTAAATTCGCACGACGCATAAATACCGATCGTGGTACGGAAATTTCAGATTTTCGCGGACCAATATCGTACCATCATCGAGATTGAAATTTTTTAATGGTAAAAGAAACTGACAAATTGACACTATCACGGATACGTAAGTTTCAACGAATTTTTTACTATCCAGTCTTTCACCGTGTTAGGCAATTTCTTTTTTTTTAAATTATTTTATTATTTGAGTTTTTGTATTTTTCTCGCATTTTTTTCAAAAATTCCAAAATCTAGAATTCTCTCCTGGTTTCACAACGTGCTTGTAAGTGAACAATGTTGTAATCATCATTAGATTTTTATGAACATGGATGATTAAAAGATGGAACCCAAGAAAAAATTATTTTTTGCACGTAGAGTTATAATTAATAGCCTTTTTTTTTGGATATTTCATACATTTTTGCATGTTACGTACATTTCTGTATCTTCGAGTTCTTCACAAATGTATGATACATTAATATGTGAGACCTCTCAGGAATAAAATTGATAGTTTCGCGTTTCACAAAGTTATTAATTTAATAGTCACTAGGTACCAGTATGAACTTCGCAGAAATTAAATCGATCAACTCCAATTTTTAGAAAATATTATTATTTCAGGCTCATCACTATGTAAGCTGTTCGAGCTCGGAGGCGAGATCAATTCTATATTTTATGATTATTAAATTATTGATTTAATAGTCACCACTTTGTGAGTCTCTTGCATCGTTAGATTGATCATTCATATTTTATTCAGATTCATATTTTATGAAGTTCCCTTTTATCCATCGATGTAGCACGTGTCAAGGAAAGAAATTCTATTCCTGTAAATTTTTTTCATTATTGAGAAATTACAAATTTCAAGAGAAGTTTCTTAAAATGTGATCAGCACTCTGAACAATTCGTAACATTTCAGATCAATTTTCACTCGAGCATTTTAGTCGTGAAACCAAAGTTTTCTGTTGCACGGAAGCAGAAACGTATTAACGCAACAAGCGAGAACTCGCACCACGTTTTTAGTAAAAACAATTACGCTCAGCAGTGTCACACGGAACCGTGATTCGCGCGCAAAATTAGAAAACCAAGTCTATTCCCCCTCTCTCTCTCTCTCTCTCTCTCTCTTTCTCTTTCTCTTTCACTTTGTATATATATGAGACAATATACATACAAAATAGAACGGTGATGCAAGCGAGTTTGTAGAATTTGAGGGAAGTAAGAAGCCAGCGCGAAGTTTCAACGTAGCAACACCGAGTCACCAACATGTACAGAAACTAAGTGTATTGCCGGTATACGCATGACAATCGCAGTCGGTGGAATATCAACTCAAGTTGCGCAACTGCGACTTGCCAGCGACCTGTATTATTTTGCAACTTCAACGTTTTCAACGTTAAATCATCCTCTCGAACAATAACAATTTCTATGTACATATTTCCCATCAATTCGACCGATTTTAGTTCTTCCATTTGAAAAACTAACAGAAACACCGCGGTTGAACCAACAAACTCAGCTAAAAATTCCAAAAACTTCGTATTGTACGAATGCCAGCAGAAGCAGAGTAGGATACACTTTTATTTTTATCGTTGGAATTGAAGGAGCAGTTATGAATGAAAATGAAAGCCCGTTGCGAACGTTGCTCGGCGAAAATCATCGTCGCTGGGCGTGGTAGATCTCGCAAAATATCAGCTAATACCGCGAGTCCGTTGCATTTTGCAGTTTTGAAACTTTCCAACGTAACTGCTGTATCGTGGCTTGAGTATACGTGGTGCGTTATAGGCTAGCTCGTGCTACGTCAATTTACTGCAATTGGTTGTACTTCGTCTCTCCTGCACACTGCCATTTTATTTTAACCAGCTATTCGCCGATTCGAACAGGAAGCAAAAAAAGGATTTATAGGTTTCGTCGACCATTGGATTCCGGTTGTCTGAGCTAGCGACACTGAATTGTGATTCACAGTGACAGAGATCTCGTGATAAATTTGATTGTTATCATTCTTTAATATCTCATCCGAGAAAATAATAGTTGTGGCATGAGAATTACTTGATAATTAGCTGTAGATTTCGTGATGAATTTTGTTGTGATTATTTTCTATCATTGTTTCGTTATTTTCTGGTGTTTTGACAGCAAGCCAGTTACGGTAGTAATTATTATATATATTTAATATATATTATTATATAATTATTATATATTTATATATATTATATATATTCAATAATTATTATATATTTTAATTTTTAAAAATAAGATATAATGATCAAATTAGTAATAACATATGCATAGTATATTAATAATTAAATATATATAATATATATATATAAAGAATTGGGCAAAATAAATATATTCACCTGTTTATCATGTCTTATTATAAAATAATATAAAATAATTTCAAGTCAATCTGCCCAATGAATAATTTAATGGCTGCAGTATAATTGTACAAAAGGTAGCATAATATATAGATTTTTAAATGAAATCCGGAATGAAAGGATTAATAAAATATATACTGTCTCACATATAAATTATGAATTGAAGAGTTTAATAAAATGTTAAAAATGTTTTTTATGGGGCGATAAGACCCTATGGAAGAGTGAAAATCATCCGGTATATCTTAAGGAAAAGAATTAAGATAGTGCGAGATATTTGGTGGCAGGTTACGGTCGTGTTTTATCGTCACCGTTGTTTCGCTCTTTTTCTTGTTTACCGCGGTCAACGGGCAAACTTTTACGATGGGGAAGAGACCGAGAATGGAAGTTCGATTGTAGTTGACCGGCATACGTCGATTGGGCTCCCTCGTGTGCGCGCGTGCAAGTCACACACCCCGGCGACGACTTTCATTCTCGAGGTGTTTTCACGCGGATCCCACGCAAACGTTCCGCCTGTATGTTTTGCGGTAAGATGGCAGTCTCCGGAACGAATTGAAAGTCCCCGGTATAAATCTCAAAGCGGAATTATACGGGCGTCGATTCTATTAGAATCAACACGACGATTGAAAACAGTTTGTTTGTTGTCAGTCAAGCTTTAATTGGCACTGATTAAACCTGACTCACCTGAAAAATCGCTGCCTCTGTTCATTCATTATATAATAATTATATTAAAATATATAATCCTTATTACAAATAATATTAAATTATTATATAATTATATATATAATTATTTTATATAATATATACATATCCTTATTTTATATAATATATACATATCCTTATTTTATATAATATATACATATCCTTATTACAAATAATATTAAATTATTATATAATTATTTTATATAATATATACATATCCTTATTACAAATAATATTAAATTATTATATAATTTAATATATTTTCGCACGAACCGATTCCAGCTTAGCAATCGATTCGGAGCGATTTAAAGCGGCTGATATTTATTTGACAAAACACACACACACACACACACACACACACACACACACACACACACACACACACACACACAGATCAGAGTCCTGACTGTAACGGCGTTTCCAATCCTTTCAGGACAATGTACCGCGGCACTGGGCATGGAGAATGGCGAAATCCCCGATGAAGATATATCGGCCAGTTCTATGTACGATCCCAGTCTTGGCCCGAAACATGCCAGGTAAGTGAACAATGATATCGCGAAATGCTCGACTGCAGTACGGTTAAGTCGGCCATTTTGATTTAGCGCTATAGTTTCGGGCTTTGTTGAACGCGCGCAACTGCCGCCGCTTGATCGCCATTAATTGATACGAAGGATCTCTCGCTGGAAATTCAAATTCCTTATTAAAACCGGTGATATACCGGTTGACCTACTTTCTTTGACCGGCGGTGACTGAGTCCAGCGTGGAAGAAAAATAATTGTATTATAATAACTCGAGAAGCCAAAATATTCAATGTGAAAATTTGTTTCTAGTTTCGAATTTAATTTCGTGAGGAGGGGAATATAAATGCACAAGCTTTCGGGTAAAATCGTACACGTTAAATTAAATATAACATTTGTAAATACATTCCTTAACGTAGATTAACATACGCTCGAGTAATTTAGAAAGCTGAAGTAATTCCATGAAACGAAAATTCTGTCTACGTGAGGAAAGAAGTGTATTATTGAATTAAATCTGATCCGGTCACCGTCGTGCGCGCGAGCACAAAATTATCCGCTGGAAATTTAACGAGAATTAACCAACGTTTACGTTTTTAGAACTGCATTTATACACTCGTTGCGAAACGAATTTATTTATATAATTAGAATTCATGTGTTGGAATTGGAGCTCTGCTAACAATTTTTCGTTTCTATAACAGTAGTTCGGATTCGAGCATGTGCGTTCGTAAAAATTTCGTTTTCTAATGACTGGTATTTAGATAAAATAATTCTGCTCGTAACAGTTTTCAACTAAGAATCGTCTTGGCTAGCTTGGTTAATCCTTATAAATAATCTTTCAACTTCTTTACGTCAAGAAAACAAGTAGATTCCCGCTGGTCTTGATAATTTGCAAAGAAAAAGAAAGCCAAGGAAAGTTGCAAAAGTTGAAGATACGAGTCCAAGAAAGTTGTACGATTGTATCGCGGCTCTTAATCCTCCACTGTTGAAGAGATACTGAAAGAGCTTGCCCTAAAAGTTAGAGCAGCAAGTAGGCAGTCACGTTGAACATTGTCCAACATTAAAAATCCAGTTTTACTCGATTTTGCTCGACCCTTGTCCCTCTTCCTCCCCTATTGTACAATTAGTTAATAACACGATTCTTTCTACTCCTTTCTTAACCCTCGCGCTCGTATATTGATAAAAAGAACCAAGCTTGGATGCATTTTGTTTAGAAAAAAAAGTAACAATGTAAATTCGCGCGTAACATCGAAATAAAATAAAAAAAATACTGTTCGCCGTAACAAAAAAATAATTTAAAGTCCGAAAGATGAAGAAACGTCGCGACAACCTAAATACGCTGGGGACTCGGCGGTAGAGGTTAGGTCCCTTACGAAATGGTTTCGCAATATCTAACAATACGCTCGTTCGAGCGTACAACGTTTAACTCGGCCAAGTATGTATGTCGAACGCAACAGCTCGTTTCCAAAACGGTGGAAATAAATCTCGGGTGTTAGAAGGATTAAGCTCGATAATTCGACGTCCGCGGCTCGCTAAGTCCCTGGTAATTGCGTCGGGATTCTTTCTGGATCGCGTGACGCGCGCGAACGTTTCAACAACGCGGCTTCGCATTTAACGAGTCCACTAGAGGCGGCTGTTCGGTTTGTTTCTTATTTCTTTTTTACGCGACGGCGAGATTAAAATCTCCTGGCTGGCAGAGGCGTCCCGTTGTCGTACCTTGGCATTTAACATTTTCAAACGGCAGAGAGCGTCCTGGAAAACAGGCTTGCGAAATTCTGTTATCGCGAGTCCGGAGACGCGTATCAGATATCGAGCCCGAGGGATGCGAGAACGTGGCTCGTAAATTGCTAATGTTGCCCTGTAATGTCGAGTCACGCTCGCGGTGCTAATCGCTGCTTCGATTCAAAAGAGAGAACACCTCGGCGGAATTTGAACTTCATTGAAGATTAATGGATGCAAATTATGTGTAACGTTTTCGACACTTTACATCTGACACGGCGTAGCAACATCGAACGCCTGCCTCGGTACATACAGTGGCTCGCCTAGAAGATTCGCGTGAACGATTCATGAAAATAATCAATTTGTGTTCATAATTACTTTCATAATTGGAAAATTTCATTGGTACTGTAATCACGTACAACTTATTATCATATCGATGCGATTTTTGAAAATGTACATTGAAGTTGCAACAAAATCTTCAAACAGTCGATTGTCAGTTGCATTGATAAATCTGAACATTCTCAGCATCGCTATTTAGTTTATTTTAAATTTTACTAAACATACGTTTGCGCTAAATTACTGGATCCAAATTTTTCTAGTACAAGTAAATCATGTCGAAAGAAACATTTCATGTAACGTAACAATTTTCAAAGTTTCACGTTAGCCACTGTGAAAGCAAGTAACGTGCAAGAAACAGAAAAAAAAAAAAAAGAAAATTAGGGAAAGTTTGACAAAGGGTAGCTTCGAATCGATCCTTCTCCAGGTTATGGAAGTCGCGAGTAACCTCGTTCGAAGAAAAATCGCGAGGCCAGATTAACCTTGATAACACTTGGAAGCCGAGTGTCTATCGTTTGTCAAAAAGAGGGATCGTCTTCCTGACGTTTTTACCAGCGATATTACGATCTTGATTCGTTCGGCGGCGTCGGACAGCTGACAGCCAAATCGATTCGGCACATTTACGAACCGAAGCAATTTATGAGGGTCGCTGAAAACGCATCGCGGGAATCGTCGATCGATGTCTATTAATAATGCGTTTCAGTAGTCTCCGTTTCGTGAAGTTAAAAGTAACGTTGGCCGAGGCACGACGAGCGATAATTCAATATCGAATCGAACTCTTAAACTCTTAAATGTCGGTGAAATATTCAAATATTCAAATTATCAAATGTAGAAAATATCATATATATTATCTCTAATCTGATAATTGATGATTAGACTGAGATATGTTATTAATGATATCTTGGGGGCGGGGGGGGGGGGGTGCAAAGGTTTTGCTACGTTTTTGAGGAAGGATTTTATTGATTCTATGAAGGTATTTAATTTTATTAAAAAACAAAACACAAACGAAATTAATAAACAGACATTCGAGACATTGTATTCTTCGAAATTTCGGTTTTTCCGTAATGGCGACTTATTTTTACAAAATGATACATTTATCGGCTCTCTTCCTTTCGAGAGAATGTCACGTAAGAAAATAACAAGATACAATCACGAGAAACAAGTAAATTATAAATATTTTCCAATGGTTCGGAATAGAATACGTTATTCACAGCCATATTCCATAATCGATAATCAATGAAACAATCTTTCGCACCCCTTTCGTATTCCTTCCTTCTTGACTTTGTCAAACAAAATTCCGCTCGACACGATCTCGCGGAGCTAAGGCAGAAAACAATTTATAAACTCCGCGAACTTGTTCGGTACCCGGACATGGGCAGAAAGCGGCGATACATAGTTCGGTTGTTTCGAGGGAGTTTGCGAGTGTGCACAGAGGCAGGCACGAGTCCGGCTCGGTGTAACGGAGGATGGAATCGAGGGAACGAGTGTGGGTGTTGCAGGGGCGGACGAGGAGGAGCCGGCCAGGGTGAACTCGACCTCTACAAATTACCTCCAATTTCGTGTAAATTCCTCGTTCCTACGTCAGCATAATACCTGTATTAGGACGGCCAGCTCGGGCTCTTAGGCGGCAATAAATCTGTATTAGGGCGAGGCGTTGCTCCTCTTAGCAAAAGGGGTGCAACGCCCCGTGGGCCTGGCTAATTTTTCACCACCGTGTCTCGTCTGCTACTCGCTCTGTCTACCAAGATCTCGACCTATATAGAATAGAAATAGAAATAGAAATAGAGATTGAAGTAGAAAGAGATAGGAGACGTTCGTCGACACCTTGTCCCCGTTTCGATTTTCACCCCCCCCCCCTCCCCCCATCCACCCTCTCAATGCTGTGATTCCGTGCGACGACGAATTAGCCGAGCAGTGGCCGCTAATTAGACCGCAATCGCGGCGCTCTAATTCGCTTCTGATTGTACGCCGGCGTCCCGTTAATCTTCCCCGTGGAATTCCCGGAATCAAGATTCAATTTGAGTTTCCGTAGTCGTTGGCCGCCAAAGAGAGAAGAACAATGGCGTAGCCAGGCGGCGAGATCTCGCGATCGGTAGAACCCCTTGAAATTCAAGACGACGAGATATCGACCGCGGTGAGTAAGGGCTCTCGGTGACTCGGCCCCTGTTTACGTCTATCGCGATACACGCGTGTGTTATCTCTCGGCGGAGATTGACGATAAGCCGGGACGTGCCACGCTAACGTACGATTATAATTACAGATGGAAGATACGTTTTCATTAGGAGATTCAGCCATGTACGTACGTATATTAAGATCGCGCCGCGTCGCAGCCGGAACACCTTTGATTCACCGGGTTAATTTATCGGTAAAATCGAGTTTTCGATGGCGAACGAGTTCGTCTAATTTCGCCCGCCAGATCAATGCCTTGGTTTATTACACTGTAATTTACCAAACTCCTTTAAGGGTGTAGCTTTATTACGTTGATGGGTAGATAGGTGTCGTTGCTGTTCCTTCTTTTTCTGTTACTTCTGTCGCGAGAAATGATCTGTCGACTAAAAGTACTTCTCCATTTGAGAGTCTCTCGCGAGAGTATTCTCTATTTCTTTCTCTATCTATTTTTTTCTCTCAAGCGATGTTCTCGGACAGTAACTCTCAGAAGTAGTATCCATTTGCGAGAAATACTCTCGAGAGCAACTCGCGACAATTTTACTTAAGTTAGACCAATTTTACAAATGGAGAAGTACCTTAACGCGGCCGACGAGTGCTGGATTTCACGTTCGGTTCCATGGTAGAGACTTGATTTCTCGCGGTTAAGAGACGAAATCAAAAAAAAAAAAAAAAAAAAATACAAGTAGTCACAGCTAATAATATTAAATAAATTACAAAAATTAATATTAAAAAGAGTTACACTTGAGATAAAAGTTGGGAAAAATTAACAGAACGACAAAGTTGTTGGTCAGAAATGT